CCGCAGCATTGTGTGACACGGGTGCGCTCACATACATGCAGGCAATACACTCATACACAAATAAAAATAATAAATAAAATATTAAAAAAACAAAAGTTGAAGCCAGGCATGGTGCTACATGCCTTTGATCCCAGCAGTTGGGAGGCAGAGACAGGAGGATCTCTGCGAGTTCAAGGCCAGCCTGGTCTACATAGTGAGTTCCAGGACAGCTGGGGCTACAGGGAGACCATGTCTCGAAAAGACCAAAAAAAAAAAAGGTATTGAAGAAAATATGAAAGGACCTCCCATGCACATGGATTGGAAGACTTAATATTGTGAAAATGACCATCCTACCAAAAGCCATATATGGATTCAAAGCAATCCCAATGAAAATCTCCATGACATACTTCACAGAATTAGAAAAATCCATCCTTAAATTAATATGGGCACAAAAGACCAGCCAAAGCAACCCTGAACATACCTGCAATTTCAGCCACCTGATATGGTGCTGGCAAAACTGGATCTCCATTTGTAGAAGAATGAAACTAAACCCCATCTTTCACCTTGCACAAAAGTCAATTCCAAATGGATCAAAGACCTCAATGTAAAGCCTGAAACTCTAAAACTGCTAGAAGAAAACATTGGCAAAAACCTACAAGTTATAGGTATAGGAAAGGATTTTCTAAACCGGACATCAATTGCTCAGGAAACAAGGTCAAGAATCAACAAATGGGACCTCATTAAACTAAAAAGCTTCTGTACAGCAAAGGAGGCAACCAGGGAAGTCAAGATAAAATCCACAGAATGGGAGAAAATCTTCACCAGCGACACATCTGAGAGAGGTTTAACATCCAGAATATATAAGGAACTCAAAAAACAGAGAATCAAGACAGGAAGTAACCCAATTAAAAGATGGGCTAAGGAGCTGAACAGAGCATTCTCAAAAGAAGATGGCTAAGAAGCATCTTAAAAGATGTTCAACATGCTGGGCGGTGGTGGCACACACCTTTAATCCCAGCACTCGGGAGGCGTAGGCAGGCGGATCTCTGTGAGTTCAAGGCCAGCCTGGTCTACAATAGTGAGTTCCAGGACAGCTGGGGCTACAGGGAGACCCTGTCTCAAAAAGACAAAAAAAAATAAAATATAGATGGGCTGGAGAGATGGCTCAGCAGTTAAGAGCACTGACTGCCCTTGCAGAGGACTCAGGTTCAGTTCCTAGCACCCACATGGCAGCTAACAACTGCCTGTAACTCCAGTTCCAGATCTGATGTCCTCTTCTGATCTCCATGGGCACTGCACAACACAGGTGCACTTACACATATGCAGGCAATACACTCAAACACATAAAATAAAAATAAAAGTATTTTTTTTAAAATTAGACAAACCAGTCAGTTTTAAGCACAGTTTCTTTTCATAGTTTCAAAGCTTGCAAAAGGATTCTTCAAATGCAATTTGCAATGCTGCTTTCCTCAAAGAGTTAGAAAAAGATCTAAATAGCAAATCAATCACAATGTTGGAATTTTAGTGGGAATACACCATTTATTTCTATTTTTACTTTTAGTGAAAAACTTAAAATTTCATAAATATACCCTGCCAAAGTTACAGTTCTGTTTAGAACTATACATCCAGGTTCCATTAGATAAAAAATTAACATCTATTTATCTAGTGTTAGGATTGGTAATTAGAAGATTATTTCTATAGGTGAGGCAGACTTGCAAGCCCCAAAGTAACTTTTTTGCTATTACATGTACTTACTTATATCGTGTGTGTGTATGCGTGTGTGCATGCACACGAGCCCATGGACATATGCTTGTGGGCTCAGCACACAAGTGAAGGTCAGAGGACAACCTGCTGGAGTAGTTTCTCTCCTTCCACCATATGGGTACCAAGGATCAAACTCAGGTCATCAGGCTTGGCAGCAAGCACCTTTACCCACTGAGCCATCTCAAGAGCCCGAGAATAATTTCTAGAAGCCCATTTTACTGTGTATTATCTACAATATGACATGCAGTCCCATAGTTTACTATGTTTATCACTCTAGGGATTTTGATATATAAATTAAATGAACAAAGTGGCCTAAAGGAAAAAAGAAAAAAAAAAAAGTCTGCCTACAGTCAGTGAGGCTTGCCTTCATAGATTCTTAAGTTTTATTTGAGGGTGGGGGTTTGCTGGGAATTAAATGAACCCAGAGACCCAGGCATCATCCTGTTTTACACGGCATGAAATTACTTTTTAAAAAAATTTATTTATTATTTTTATTTTACGTATATGCGTGCATTGCCTGCATGTAGGTAAGTGCCCTCACATCACGCAATGCTGACGGAGGACAGACGAGACTGTCGGATCCCCTAGAACTGGAGTTACGGACAGTTGTTAGCTGCCATGTGGGTGCTGGGATTCGAATCCGGGTCTTCTGCAAGAACAGCCAGTGCTCTTAACCGCTGAGCCATCTCTCCAGCCCCACAACATGAAAATTCTTACACCTTGGATGCTGACCTGTTTATACCATATACATCCATAGCTTCCTTCTTTTCCCCCTAAGGTCTCAATAGATGAAAAGCAAAACAAAATGTTTCTTTACCTTTTTGATAGTAGTCACTTGTCCAAGATAACCAGCAGTCCCACTTTCAATAAGAGGCACATCAGCTGCCAGACACATCCTATTAACATGGTTTCGGGCAGCTGCAGGAAAAATACTAGTTAGAAAAGTTTTGGAAACACAAATTAGCTATTAGGACAACTATTCAAACTATTTCTTGCTTTTCAGCACATGTTTATTATGTCTATGGCCAGACTACTACAACTACTTTTTGTCTCTGCAGTGTTGCGGGTGGAACTCACCCCTGTGCGTGCTAGGCAAGAGCTCCAACACTGAGTGAGCTACATGCTCAGCCCAACAACAGTTAATTGCAGACATTTCTACAGACACCCAGCAAAATTTCAAACTAAGAAATCTTTACCACAAACTCCAAGAAAAGGACTCTTAGAAATGATTCCAGACTACTGGGGCCAGGGCTTCAGCTTGTCTGGTGTGTGTGAAGTCCTGGGACTTCAAAGACACCCAAGGCATTCAAAAGGCAAAGGGTGATCTTTCTTTTTGATTTCTGTACCATGGCCCAAACTGTTTTAGCATGCTCTTTAATCTGTTACTAGTCTATTACAGCAAGTAACCCACGGCAGTGGATGAAGTGTGCAATTCTAATTTGAAACTATTAAAGTCTATGGTGACAAGAAAACAGATGAGGCGGGTGAAGAGTCACTCAGACTTTCAATGACTTTTTCCTTTTAATACTTCCCAAATTATTATAAACCTTGCAAAAGTAGTTTTTCTCTTTTTTTGAGACAGGGTCTCACTATGTAGCCCTGGCTGGCCTGGAATGCAGAGATCTGCCCGCCTCAGCCTCCCAGTGCTGTTAATCCCAGCTATGTGCCACCATGTTAGGCTGCAGAAGTACTTTTACTTGTACAAGGGCAGGGAAGGAATATTATGAAGTGTTTTCACCCCACATTCCAGTCCAGAAACAGATTTGTTAAAATGAACTGGCTATATGGTATTTGATCACACAAAACACAATTCTATGCTATGAAAAACTTAAACTAAATTATGTGTAAATTTACCAAAATCTACTCTGGTACCTTATCAGCACTAGATAAATCTAAAATAATTCTAAAGCTTTAGCTTTTGAGTTTGGCATGCTCAACTGGGCATGGTAGTGCAGTCTATAATCCCAGCCCTTGGGAGGCGGAGACAGGAAAATCAGAAGACTTTAAGGTCACCCTCAACACACAGCAAGTCAGGGAGACCTTGTCTCCAAGATGAAACAACTAGCATTCTACCATCTTATTCCCAGACCACTGGCTCTTATTCCTGTCCACACTTTACATTCACCCAAAAAGCTTGAGAAACAACTGAAATTCAGGCCTATTTAGTATTTTAATTGGTCTTCGGTGAGAACTTCATAGGTCTGTTCATAATTGAAGTTCCAATGCATTTATCTGCAGCAACCACCTCAAATAAAAAACACCCACAACTCTCAGTCACACTCTTCGCAACTTTCAACTTCCCCCTTTATTTTACACCTTTCGGTAAAATAGCAAAATATGCTATGGCTGAATTCCTGCCTGAAAAAAATCAGTTCTGAAGAAAACTGCTATCAACCAGGTTTTGCTAGGTGTTGTCTTTATCTCAAATCCTAACACTTATGAGACTGAGGCCAGAGGACTGCCAGGAGGTCAGCCAGAGGGACACAGTTCCAGGTTGGCCTGGGCAAGCGTGAGAACATCACACAACACACCCCCCCCAAAAACTGGGCTGGGTGTGGTGGCACACACCTTTAATTCCAGCACACCATAGGCAGGCCTGTACGACCTCTGTGAGATCAAGGCCAGCCTGGTCATGTAGACCATGTAGGTGAGTTCCAGGCCTGCTGTGGCTACAGGGAGACTGGGTTTTAAAAAGACCAAAGCAAGCCAGGCATGGTGGTGCATACCTTTAATCCCAGCACTTGGGAGATATAGGGAGGCAGATCTCTGAGTTCAAGGCCAGCCTGGTCTACATAGTGAGTTCCAGGACAGTTGGGACACAAGGGAGCCCCGGTCTCAAAAAAGCCAAAAAAAAAAAAAAAAAAAAAAAACCAAAGCAAAACAAGCCCCCCCAAATAACAAAAACAAACAAAAAACCCATGTGGTTTTACTTCTTTTAAGGTCTTTTAAGTTCTAAATAACAAGATATTTTAATTTTACATTTTTTTCTAAAAAAATATTATTTTTATTTTATGTGTATGAGTGTATTGCCTGCATGTAGGTAAGTGCACCCGTGTTGTGCAATGCCCATGGAGGACAGAAGAGGCTGTCGGATCCCCTGGAACTGCAGTTATAGGCAGTTGTTAGCTGCCATGGTGGGTTCTGGGATTTGAATCTGCTGAGCCATCTCTCCTGGCCTCTAATTTTGAATTTCTAATCATCTTTGACATGAAGAGGAAATATTGAAAAGTTTAAGTTATTAAAATTGCCTTACCTCTGTTATCTAAGGCATTCATAACCAATATAAACTGCCGAAAAAATTCCACATTATAGTCTGGGCTAGAAAGCAAAACAAAAAGGTCACCAAAGCTGGCCTTGCATAGGATTTTCACAGCATTATATAGAGTCCTAAGAAATATAAATAAATAACTGTAAAAATATTATTACATACACAGTAAAACCCCAGTATTTCCAACATAAGTGCATATTTCAAAGAAAATACTTTCCTCCTATCCATTCTGATTGGCTACCTAGAGTACCAAAATCAAAATTTAAACTGGCAGACAGCTGGCATGACCTCACTCGTCCCACCAGGCCGCCTCAGGGCAGCAAGTGCCTGGGAACACACAAAGAACACATTCCCAGGATCTGCTAGGCCTGTGGCTTCACCTCACATGGTCAAGATCAGGCAAGGTTCAGGCCCCTGGGGTCTCTGCTTTTAGCAGCACTGGGAAGGCAACACAGGGTCAGAGGGTTACAGAGCTGGAGGCAGGTCTACAGAGCAAACATTCTGAGAATTAAAAATGGCTGGAGTCAAATGCCTTGGGAAAGGATAAGGCTTTCTCCAATTCTAGGATTTTAATACATCTACTAGCATGTGTGCGAAGGTACAGCCATTGCTCCTTTGCTCTCACACCTCCAAAATTACACATCTATCTTTACTGAGATGCATGAATTCATATACTATCAACATATATACTCCCTTAGAGGATCTTCAGGAGTCCTCTGTAAGTTTCAAGTAACTTACTGACAAACATTAAAATATCTCAACACAGCTGGGTGAGATGATGCACACTTTTAACCCCAGCCCTCAGGAGGTAGGTAGATCTATGAGTTGGAGGCCAGCCTGGTCTACATAGTTCCAGGTCAGCTGGGGCTACAGGGAGACCCTGTCTCAAAATAAAACAATCTCACCACTTACCTAAATCATTTAAATAAACATAAACTGGCTAAAAGAGTTGTCACTTATGTGGACATAAACTATCAAATTTTAAATATTCTAGAAAAGTCATCTTACAAAAGCAGAATGACTCTGGGCTCACATAAATGCCTAATAAAAATGCTTATAGCCGGCGTGGTGGCACACACCTTTAATCCCAGCACTTGGGAGGCAGAGGCAGGAGGATCTCTGTGAGTTCAAGGCCAGCCTGGTCTACATAGTGAGTTCTAGGACAGCTGGGGCTACAGGGAGACCCTGTCTCAAAAAAGACCAAAAAAAAAAAAAAGCTTATACTTTAAAAGTTTCACTAAAAATCCATAGCAAGCAGCTTTGTGATACGGTAATTAGAGCATACTTCATGATGCTGTCGTGGTAAGCGACAATGTTAGCCCTTGGGTGGAACTGAAGTACACTTTCTTTGGCAACCTGGAAAACAAACAATAGCATGTTACTATGACATGTTTATTGGCACCTGAAACCTTCTGACAGACACTGTTGCTGCATCTTACATGTAATCTTATTTACGTACAGAAATGTGATAAAAGTTACACACCTATTTATAAAATAATGATCTTTCTCCAACAGATCATCACAGATACTTCTATGTGAATGGCAAGCATCAGCAAGAATAGAGAATGTGTGGGGGGGGGGTCTGAGGGCTAGAGCACGCGATCCTCGGCAGCACAAACAAATTTAAAATAAAATACAATAAGCAAGTGTCATTCATTCATTCATTCATTCACTTAAGAGCCTAAGAGACATGGGCGTGGTGGCACATGCCTTTAATTCCAGCACTGGGGAGGCAGAGGCAGGTAGATCTCTGTGCATTCAAGGCCAGCCTGGTGTACATAGCATGTTCCAGGTTAGCTGGGACTATAGGAAGATCCTGTCTCAAAAAGACCTCCCCCCTAAAAAAAAGAGCCTAAGAGACATTAGATAATCACCTGGATAAATGTGCTAAGGGGTAAAGACCAGACAGTCTAAAAAGTTAATTTAGCAAAATAGTCCCAGGGGATGGAGCTACAATATAAAAAATGGAAAGCACAAATGCTCTGGGACAAAGGGGCCAAAACAGAGAAGACAAGACATTCACCACTCCAAATCATGAAGACTATTCAGAGCAGAAGCACTTCCTGCTACAAGCAGAAGCTGGCATAGGAACTTGGAGTTCATCAAAGTAAACAGTAAAAAATTTAAATATGAAGGGGAAACAAGACACTTAAGTAGGGCACTTTTATTTTCCTTTGTGAACCAAAACATGGGAGGGTTTGGTGAATATTTCCTTATTCACACACTTCATCCTCCTTAAACTAAACAACTAGCTTCCAGCCTCACAAAATAGGGCGGGGGCCGTTCATCAGGTAAGCATGGGCCTATAGCCAAGCCTGACCACCCGAGGCCAATCCCATGGACTCAGGGGTGGAAAAAGAAGCTACTCCCTGACTGCATGACACACATGCGATGGTATGAGCACGTCCACACATATTACACACATGAAAGAACCTAAGTATCAGACAACATTGTCTTTTTTTTTTTTTGAGACAGGGTCTCCCTGTAGCCCCAGCTGGCCTGGAATTCCCTATGTAGACCAGGCTGGCCTCGAACTCACAGAGATCCTCCTGCCTCTGCCTCCCAAATGTTGTGATTAAAGGTGTGTGCCTCCATGCCTGGCTGACATAATTATCTTAAAAAAAGCTAGCTTCACTCATTCCTGCCTCCCCTATTGGGGAGGCACAGTTAGTCTTGTACCACAAATAAAAGATCCATCAAACAGTTAAAAAAAAGAACAGTATGGGGAAATAGTTACCTGAGCCTTTGATCTTCCAACATGTTTCTTTTGAAACAAAAACTGCCTGTTGAGGTTGCTGACATCAATAGTATCCAGATCAATCTACAGAAACACAGAAACCCAGATAAACCAAATGCTCTGGTATTCTCCGCAGTACCATTGTCTTCAGCATTCATAACCTAGAACTTACATATATCAGCAGAAAGTCCTTTTTGGACAAGCCATACCAAAATTGCTAAGTTGTGAAAAATACTTGAAAGCATATGGAAGGAACAAATACCAATGTCAAAGGTAATTGAAAAAAAAAGCTTTTGAAGATGCTGGAAGATGACTGGAGTGATTAAGAGCATTTGCTGCTCTTGAAAAGGACCAGTGTTCAGTTTCCAGCATCTGAGGCTGGAGAGAAGGCTCAGCGCCCGAGAGCACTCACTGGCTGGGTTTAGTTCCCAGATCTACATGGTGGGTGGGTAACTGTCCATAACTACAGTTCAAGGGGATCAAACACCCTCTTCTGGCCTCCTCAGGCACTGCATACATTGACATACACATAAGCAAAACACTCATACAATTATATATATACAGAATATACATATACACCTATAATTTGCTAGGCATGGTGGAATGAGCCTTTAATCCCAGCACAAGCTAGGCAGAGGCAGGCAGCTCTCTGTGAGTTTCAGGCTAGCCAGTCAGAGCTGCACAGTGAGAACCTGTGTAAAAACATGTGGTTAAGAACACTGGCTGCTCTTTCTGGGGACCCAAGTCTGGTTCTCAGCACCCAGGTGGCCACTACAAACTGTAACTCCAATTCTAGAGGATCCAACATATTCTTCTGGCCTCTTTGAGCACTGCACGTACACTTATATACATGGAGGCAAAGTACTCACAGAAAATTTAAAAAAAAAAAATTTTTTTTTTAAAAGCTGGGCACTGCCAGGCGTGGTGGCACATGCCTTTAATCCCAGCACTTGGAAGGCAGAGGCTGAGTTCGTTTGAGACCCTGCCTCAAAAAGACCTAAAATAAATAAATAAAGCTGGGCATTGAAATCTCAAGAGCTTGGAAACAGGTGGATCCTTGGGACTTACTGGCCAGCCAGCCTGGCCTACTCTGAGAGCTCCAAACCAGGGAGACAATCTGCCTCAGAAACTGGTAGAGAGCATCTGAGGGGCATACCCAAAGTTGTTCTCTGGTCTCCACATGCCTTCATATACATACATGTAGAATTTTCTTATCAATCTGAATACTTTCGAATACAAAATAAATGTTTACTATGCACTGTTTCTTTTTATTAAAATGGTATCTGTAAGCAGAAAACCTGGGTTCAAATCCTAGCACCCACATGGCAGCTAACAACTGTCCATAACGCCAGTCCCAGGGGATCCGACAGCCTCTTCTGACCTCCTCAGGCATTGTACAACACAGATGCACTTACCTACATGCAGGCAATACACGCATACACATAAAATAAAAATAGTAAATAAAATTTTTTTTTTTAAAGTATTATGTAGCCGGGTGTGGTGGCACATGCCTTTAATCCCAGCACTCGGGAGGCAGAG